TTACCTCAGTGTCTTGGTTGGGCTGGTTCCAGGTGGGATTAAGCCGAGCAACCCGGGCACTCAGTGTAGTGGTCAGCACATACCGGGGCTCCCCTTCTGTCCACTGGGAGATCCCATTGTCCACTGCATCCACCTCCTCCACGAAGTTCTCATACATCTATGGTGGCAGCAGGAGAAATGCTCCTGAGAGTACCTGCCATTCGCATAAAGTTTTCCAGATTTCAAAGCATGTGCCTAAATGCTCATTTCGTCTTCCCAACAGCCCTGTGAGGATCCTTCAACATGAACTGGATGAGGAAAGGGGAACCTGTGGAATCTAGTGGCTGCTTAAGGTCTGAGAGCTAATAGTGCTGGGATTGGAACCTAGCTCACCTGCTTTCTAGGCCAGACTTTGCTCCACTACAGCACAAAGCCCGAGCCAAGGCCAGCATGTGTCGGGAGGGGGCTGCGGACTTCTGAGCCAGGAAGGCCTCGAGTTCCATGAGGGACTCTGTGGGAGCAGATCCCTAGGCCTGAGGGAGGGTAAATCTCCAGGTGGCTGAGGAGGCTATTCAGTGAGCCAGATAACAAGGCAAAGAGGGTCTGGCCAAGCTTGAGTCAGGTGCGACAGAGGATGAACGCTGGACTAGATATCAAGAATTGGGAAATGGTCCCAGGTGAAGCCCACAGTGTGTACCACCTGGTAGTAGCAGCTGCTGCTATCTCCTGAGCTTTAAGAAGTGGTAGGACAATGCCTCGAGTTTGGGGGCAGAAATGATATGGGGTGTGAGTGTTTAATGCAAAGCTGCCCTATAAAATAGGCCTGTATACAACTCATCATGGTGTGTAGAAAAAGTGCTACTCAGTTTTCAGTTGCTTAGAAACACCTCAGCAGGAGAAGGGAAAATTAACCCAGACAGTCCAAAACCGTAGTATTCCAAAAGCTGCAATTTAACTGCTCCCATTTCTTCCATTATTTGGATCATACTAATGCAGTGTCAGGGGCAGAAGGTTGGCAAGCTGAGATGGAGACATAAAACTCAACAGCCTATCTGTGAAAAACAGCTGACTAAATTTGAAGTTTGACTAGGGAACTTCACAGGAGGACGGTCACATAGGTGTCCTCAGATTCAGTGTTAGATCTGACCTGCATACCAGGGCCACTAAGCCTTGTTCTTTCCCCAGGAGCAGGAACCCGCTGAGCTGCTTGCAGGGGACACTGGTAGAACCTGAAGATATTTTCATAATCAAGCCCTTCCCAGCTGAGCTTCTAAATTCATGCCCTTAGGGAATTAGTTCTGCTCAAGCTATGCTCCCCCTCACCTTCAGGGAGCCAGAACTTTTCAGCCATACACTCCCAAACACAAGTAGCCTCCTCTATTACCAAGTTGTTGAACAATCACTTTTTATGTGTCAGGTCAAGAAAAAGACTGGGAAACACTGCTTTATGGCTTTCAAAGCCCTTCCCCATATATTACTTCATCCACTTCTCGCACCCACCCCAGGATGGAGGGAGGAGAGAGATTAACCATTCCCTCATGAGAAGATCAGTCTGATAGAGGGACAGGGTGTTGGACCAGCTGTGGGCCAGGAACCCTGACCTGAGGGCCAGTCCAGAGTGCTGTGTGCCACTCCCAGCCAACCTGGTGGCGATGCATGTGTGGGGCATCTCTGTCTTCCAGTTCCCACCTTGTCATAGAGGGTGCCCACCGTGCTGTCTTCTTCGCTAGTACCCAGCAACTGGGCCAGCAACTTGTGCCCAAAGTGCAGGTAGATGAGTCCCGCACTGCTCAGCTTGGTTTGCCACGGCTTTCCAGGCAACAGGGAGCTCATGGTCTCTGTGAAGGACCTGAGGAGCACAGAAAGGTGGGGCAGAGGCAGAGGCACCCTGGCTAGCTCATAGTGTATGTGCACATGGTATAAATTGGGTGGGAAGGCTGGGGAAAACTGCATCAGTTGGGAGGAGAAAGCCCCTGGGGAGGCTTTGGCTCTTCTGCAAGGGCCCCATGGACCTCGGCTTGAAGTCTCCATGTGTTCATTTGACCATGGTTAACTCAGTGCTTACTTGGCAGGCTTTGTGTTTTAGACATTGGGGATAAAAAAAACTAAGCCCTGGTGAAGGGGGGAGCCTAGTAAACATAATGTTCTGCATGTAATTGTAGATTAATGATAACAACAACAACATAAAAAAACTAAGACCCTGTCCCTAGCTTCAAGTACAAAGACAATATACAATCAACCAAGTGAAGGGTCTAGTTAGGTTATAAACAAGGGAAAGGTGTGAGGGGCAAGGGAAGGGTTCAGGAGAAACCTCAGGTCATTACTGAAAGATGAATTAGTGGGTGCTTACCAGACAGACAAGAGGTGAAGGAGAAAAGGCATTCCAGGTAGAGGGAACAATGTGTACACAATGTGTACAATGGCTAAAAGACAAGTCTCATGGAACTGCAAAAAAGGCAGCTTGGAGAAGTGGCAAAAGATAAAGCTGGAAGGGTAAGCAGGAGCCAGATACAATGGCAGGTCTTGTATACTATACTATGGAGTTTGGACTTTATCTGTAGGTAATGTGGAGCCACTGAGAGGTTTTAAGCAGGCAAATGTATGTTAGGAAGACCATTATGCCAGCACAGACAGTAGATGTAGGATTACCTACAGCGATCTGTGTGAGTGAGGCAGGAATTTCAACAGCAGTGGCAAAGATACAGGGAAAAGGTATAACAGTTGTTAGGGAAGTAGAAATTACAACTGTAATTTCTAAATACCAGTCCATCAGAATCACGTTGGGAGCTTATTTTTTGTTTTAATAATTTTTATTAAGTATTAATTAAATACATAAAACATTTGTAAAAATTTTACAAGGTATAAAGGTAATAACAATAACCCCTGGATAAGGTTCAAAAAGAAGTGAAACTAAATTGTTGATGGAAACAGACATATGTGTTGAATAATATATAAGAACAAGGGTATAATAAAATTCAGGATGTTGCTTTACTTCTTGGGGAGGCAGGGGGATGGGATAGGGAGGAAGCACACAAGAATAGAAGCAAAGTAATAGTAATGTTCTAGTTCTTAGATCAGGAAGACGTGTTCATTTTGCATTATGTTCCAGAAATGTTAAATACATTCTTTTATGTATCAGATACTATATAATTTAAAAAATGTATATAAGATCATTAGAAACCATTCAGAAAGAGGAAATAGTAATGTCAAGCCCACAAAGAGGTTAGTTAAAATGAGGCCCTCAGTTAGCAACCTGAGTTTGGTGTTGATGTCACTGATACCCTTCTAAAAGCATTTCCAGTGAAGAGATTGGGAGAGAACCAGCTGAATGAGTGAAGAGTGGCTGAGAAATGAGGGTGAGAGATTAGGCTGTAAATACTGGGAGGGTTCCCTTCCAACATCATTTATGAACGTGATATGTATATCTAAAAGAGAAAGAGACAGAGAGAGATATACTTAAAGAGACTAAAACATCCACATAATCCCTCAGAGATAACTGCTTTGAACAGTGTGCTGTATATGAAGAAGGGTTTTGTTTATTCACTCCTTTCTTTTCAAGATGCAAGATGCTTGAGCAGAGTTTCAGGCTATAGGCAGGGAGCAGTGGAAACACTGGCAGGAGAATTGTGATGTGAAGAAAGCAATAGGTTGAAAAAGAGGCAAACAGAGGGGAACAACATTTCCTGAACTGGAAGGAAGCTGCTGAGGATGTTCGGGAGTGGGAAACTAAGGACCCACCTGCAGAGAAGCTCCTATGAAAAGTAAGGCAGGGTTACTCACTGAAGGAGTGTGATTAAGGTAGGGGCTTGAGAAGAGGGAAAAGGATTGGAATGGTACTGAGGATAATGAACTGCCCTCAGAAAGTCAAGATTTCTCAGTGGAAGAGTGTAAACAAAGTATAAGACCACACACATCTGAACCGTCATCAGATTGTGCACAACGGGTTAATCCTAGCTGGGGCATAAGCGGAAGAAAAGCCTGACTGAGCAACGGAAGCGGTGAGGTCGGAAGAGGCTTGAAGTCTGAGTGGGAGCCAAGGGAGGCCTGGGCAGATGCAAGGCTCAGGGTGGCCAAAGGACAGCGAGATGGGAGCAGAGCTGTCAGAGAGCTGGACGGATGGAAGGCTGTGGTCCCATAGGACTAAGCTGCCTTTAAAAAATGAGGCAGGCAGCTCCCTTCACTGCCAGGGACCACAGCAGTGGACGGCTTGACTTATTGGAGCACTTGAAAGCTGAAATAAAGGAAATCAAAGAAACGGTACCTGAAACCCACCTCTGGTGATGGTCATATCGATGTCTCTGAGGGTCATACTCGCCACCTACGTCTACCACGACGTCACAAGAAGCAAGTTTTTCGGGGTCCCGAGTCCGCACAATTTCTGCATTCTGCAAGGGACATAGAAGGTGAGGTGGCTGCCAAGGCTCGTGTGGGTAGGGGATTAGTGTGTTTTCCCAGGGGAACTGGGGGGTGGCAGGTAGGAGGGGTGCTCAGGCCGCGCCGCCCAAGCTACCACAGGGACCCCATTGGGGAACGCGGACTGCGCGGAGGGACGCAGGCAGTGCTAGGGAGTTCTAGCGAAGCGTACGCGGTACTCTGGCAGGAGGCGTAGCAGCGCGCACGCCAGAGCCTCATCGCAGTGGAAGGTGCCGTTGTGCGTCCCGATTCGGGGTGGTGTCATGAGGTTGCTGCGGGGTCGCTTGGAGGGCCTTATGGACTCCAGGCTGAACACGCAGCGCGGTAACCGCGGGAGCAGCAAAGGACACAGACAGCGCAGGAAATGGCTTCCCATGCAGCTCCCCCAGCGGTGGAGGAGGAGCCGGCGAAGCATCACTTCCGCCCGACGGCAGTTCCCACGGTAACCGGCTCAGCCAGGGCGCAGGACTTTCCCCAGCTCCTCCAAGGCCCTGGTTGGAGCCTTCAGGATTGCATCATCCCCTGCCAGCAGGCTCTGCCAGGGCCAACACCCTCTCGACCTCCCCAACTCATCACCAGTCCCTTGCTTATGCAAGAAAAGACCAACATTCTGCCCAGCTGGCACATTTATTAGCATTAAACACAAGACCCTTCTCCGACTCCAGGAAGCCACGCCCACAATGTCCCAAGGCCCTGAAGCGGGGTAGATAGGCCCGCTTCTGAAACAAGCTCTCAGGCTTTGGCAGTGGCCTGAGTTGCCCCCAGGGCTGTGAGCTGCTGAATCTTCTGGCTCATCATCTCCATGACAGCTGTGGAAAAATAGACCGCGGTCAGGAGCCGAAGGGGAGAACTCTGTCACTTCCAGAGTTAAGGAAAAGTGAGAAGTTTAAGGACAGGCAGATAACTAATTACAGTTATTCACTGTGGGAGACACACTAAAACAAATGTAGAGTCTACAATGTGTCAGTATGATAAACGTTGAAAAACAAAAACGGACAAAAACAATATTAAATGAGTCATACATAACCAGAAAATTATTACATGGAAAAGAAAAGACTGCCTTTAAAACAGTGGTTCTCTGAACCTGACTATGTAACAATCACCTGGGAAGCTTTTTAAAAAACACTGACCACTGGAATCTGCTCCTGCTCCACCCTCCAAAACACACACGATCAGGTGGATTTAGTTGGTTTGGAGTGGGTCCAGGCTTTCTTTTTAAACTCCTTGGGTGATTCTAATGTGCAGCTGGGCTGCAATTGCTAATACTTTAGTTAGAGCTATATTTCTTTCCTGGGTGTTCATTTACATGTCTCTTCTCCCTCCATTCCATCCCCAGTAGATAGGAACTCTGCAAGAACTTCTTCCTCTAAATTTCTCAAGCACCTAATCCAGAAATCTACAGACAGTGGTTATGTAATGCTCAGAATCTAGAGAATAACATATCAATATACCAAAGAGAAAGACATAGTTTTAATCCAGCAAAAAGAACAGCGCCATGCTTCACACTGCATGCAATCTGTGTTCTTTATCATGGAGGTAGAAAAGGTGAAGTGCCCCAGGCCAAGCTTACCCTGTTTCATGGCATGCTTCTCCTGCAGAGCTGGCTGGATTTTCTCCATTTGCTTGGTGAGAAAGTCTATCTTCCTCTTAAAGAAATCCTTGGCATCCTCAGCTGTCTGTAAGGTCACAGGTGAATGAGGGGCTATGAGAAGATCCCATGCCATACTCTAGATCTTCCCCTAAACTCCCTTTTCCTGCTCAGAGGGGTATGCACATGCTTCCTTCCACTCACCTTTTCTACATAGTAGCCAGTTCCCACATCAATGAGCACGTGTTCCACATCATGTAGCTTCCCAGGGACATACATCTGAGAAGCAAGGATTAAGGAAAAACTAGCCCAGCATGAGTCACGATTCCTTGTCAGCCAGCCTGCTTGGCCTCCTAAGACCCTCCTTTTCTAATAAACTATAAGGTACAGGAACTGAATAATCCAGAGGCTTTGGAGCTCTAGCTGTAGACTCCAGTGAGAAGAAACAGAGAAGCTGATTCTTTATGGAGAAAATGACATAATGCTGGACACTCTCTTGCCCTGACCCCATCTCCCACCCTCCAAGCAGTTCTTACAGTTCTTCCCATGAGCCTCTCAAGAAAGACTAGATACACTCTGCTACAGAGTAGTAAAGTGAAAAAAGCCAGCCTCACTTCCCTCAACATGCCCAACCATGAACTACCTAATTCCTGATGGATATAATGTTCATTATTTAGCCAACCCCTACTACACTTTTTTTTTTTTGAGAGGGCATCTCTCATATTTATTGATCAAATGGTTGTTAACAACAATAAAATTCAGTATAGGGGGGTCAATGCTCAATGTACAATCATTAATCCATCTCAAGCCTAATTCTCGCCAGTCTCCAATCTTCTGAAGCATAACGAACAAGTTCTTACATGGTGAACGAATTCTTACATAGTGAATAATTCTTACATGGTGAACAGTACAAGGGCATTTATCACAGAAACTTTTGGTTTTGATTACGCATTATGACCTATAAACAATCAGGTCAAATATGAATATTCGTTTGATTTTTATACTTGATTTATATGTTGATCCCACATTTCTCCCTTTATTATTATTATTTTTATTTTTAATAAAATGCTGAAGTGGTAAGTAGATGCAAGATAAAGGTAGAAAACATAGTTTAGTGCTGTAAGAGGGCAAATGTAGATGATCAGATGATCAGGTGTGTGCCTATGGACTAAGTATTAATCCAAGCTAGACAAGGGCAGCAAAATATCCACTACACTTTCTTTTTTAAAGCTTGTTAGTTCTGACTACAGTTTACAGGTGTCCTATTGTCATAACTTGATTATTCAAGTAGAACACTCAAAAAAAAAGGCACAATCCAGGTTTCTTAGTAACAACAATTTAAGAAAAAGAGCCACAATCAAGCTGAAATTGAGAATTAATAAACAGCATCAAACCCCCTTGTTTCTATATCCCTATTATTCTATTGCTTATGTCTTCTAAGTTATGAGTTTAAGCCCCCAGTTTTATCTCCATATTGGATGATATTCTCAAACAGCATAGGGAAATAAATAATATCTCAATTCTACATATTCTTTGGTGCTCACAAGTCATTACTGGATGTTGGCCAGGTTAGATAGGAGAGCTATATGTTTAATAAGGGTGTTAGAATCATGGGGGCACTCTGGAGTAATCAAGACCACTTCAGCCCTTTTTTGCAGAGAAGGGTCGGGAAGAAAAGGAGGGGGCAGGGTAGCAGTTCCTGTGGAAAGGATACAGAGCTTGTCAATGGGACGAGTAATTCTTTCCCTGTGAAAGCAATTAAGACAAACATCTGGGAAAGGTTGTCAGCTCCAAAGTTAGACGTCAAACGGAGTTCCAACATGGCACAGCGCACAAATAGGAAAGAACAGAAACGGGCAACAGGAACAGAGTAATGTCCCGTACGTTTCAATTCTAACGGGCAACATGCAAAGGGCTCGTGTAGCAGTATGCAATACTCAACGGGCTGTTTTCTCCTCTCGGATAAGAAAAACTGGTTCAGAAGGCGGGATAAGAGGAGAAGCTCCCTCGCCACGTCCCCCAGGTTTTCTTCACGCGCCTACCCCATACCCTCGTTGCTCTTGTTCAGCACGTTCAGACAGTCCTTGGCTTCCACATATTTGGTCTGTACCACCTTGAGCTGGGCAATGGACGTGGACAAGAACTCCACTTCCTACAGTGGAAGGGAAAGAGGGTCAGAGGCTGGAGGGAGAGGGGGCCACTGCTGGAGAAGGGGTGGGCCCTGGGACAGCGTTGGGGACTCGCAGGGGAAGGGAACCTTCCAAAGTGGGGAGGAATGGGGGACGAGGGAGTACGCGTGGGCAGAAGGGATGTGAGGCAGGAAAGGGGTGTCTCTGGGGCTGTCCCCACCTGGTCCAGCTGATTCTTGAGCACTTCTAGCTGTGGTAGACTCAGCTCCGTGATGTTAACAGACTGCGCCATGCTGGGAAGGATTACTAACGGAACGGAAGCCGGCTCGGCGAGCGACGCTCTAGCCGTCCGCTGCGCATCTCGATGGCTGTGCCAGGAGGCCTCGCTGCGCCAGACATCTCTCTGATCCTTCATCCCGGAAGGGAGGGAAGGGTTATGTCCTGAGTCTCGAGCTCAGACAGAAGGTTGGGCGTTCTTTTCACAAAACATCCCAAGCCTAGCGGTCAAGGTGTGGTAAACAGTATTCCTGCTGTCAATGAATTTAAAAATCTTAGAAGTACTCAGACAGTACCATAACATTGTAATGTATGCTACTCCACGTGGGTGGTATAAACCTAGTGACCACAAGACAAGAAGCCTCTGAAGTTCCCTGGTCAGGGGTAGTAGCATATAGTGGTGCTTTGGGTAGATGAACAGGAGAGAGTCTGACAGCGGAAAGAACAACAAGGGGGCACATTACCAACCAACAAGTAAAGCACGAGATTTTTTAATCAGTTTTACCATGTGCTAGCTATGAGGAATACGTAAGAGTGAAAGATAATGTGCCTCCAAGCACATTGGAATCTAGTTGGAGAGAGAAAAACCATACCAAAGCAGCAGAACCCTACAGCATCTGCACAGCACTGATAAGTATGGAACAGCTGTGTGGGGAGAGCGAGCCTTTACCATCCACTTAGGATGGGGGCAGAGCAACAGAAGCATTAAAGCTAGTGTCATTCCCAGGATACTGGAGGGCAGGGAGACAGGACAGACATGATAGTACCTGGCCAAGACACTCTCAATGCATCTCTCTCTACCTTTCCTTGGGCCTTTGCTCCCATTTAGAGCATCTTGATATCCCTCTCTCCTCCAGCTTTGTCCGAGTCCAAGCCAGGCCTAGCTTTGTTTTATGGTTTTGCCTTTCTTTCCAACGCTCTGACTTGAACTCCTGCAACCTGTTTTCATCTGTTTGTAGTACCGCATAGTGGGAATAGTAGGAGGTGGGGGGGGCAGTAATCTTGTCTTCAAATGTTCTCAGAGAAATTACACAAAACAGTTTAAGTAGTGTATCTTTATTTTATATTAAGGTGAAATAAAAAGGAAATAGTCCATATAAAATACTGGGGAAAAGCTCTTAAAATATTTATCTTAAAGGTTAAATCTAAGTATGGGAGGTAGAACAGTCACATGGTTTCTGTCAGCAATAGGGCAGCTCCAAGGGGTCACCGCAGAGAGACAGGCAAGCCATAGGCTACAGGTGCAGCCCCAATAAGATACTTGAGTCGGGGAGCCTGGCGGGCCTGGTTGACATAGTAGAGAAGAGGGGCTCCTGGGCCTGCTCCGAGCCAGCCCTGCAGCAGAGCCTCTGTGTAGCGGTCAATATCACGGTCAGTCACATCCCATAGGTTTCCCAGAAACAGGGGGCTGGGAAAAGAGAAAGAATAAACACAACATAAGGACTCTAAAACAGAATACATAGGAAAACATGATTGGTGGTAGTGGTGGGTGAGTAGTGAGGACTGAGTCAATGAGGAGTCTCTTGGTCTATAGTTCTAGGAAGACAGAAGAAGACAAAGGGTTAAAGACCCAGGTGCACCAGGGAACTAGGACAAGAGGAAAGGTTGAGGGTGCAGACCTGGGAAAGAACCTGGGTTGGGGATCTAGGATGGGCCGTGCCCCTCAAGACTCACCAGCCAGCCATGATATACTTGAGCACGATGCCAGCCCCCTCCAGGTTTCCGTGCACAGCGAGGGCTGCACTGCTGCAGCCAAACAGCAAGGCTACTGCCCGGCAGCTCAGCCGTAGGACAGCCTGCCCATCCAGAAATCGGGCACCGGCCCCATGCCCGGCATAGCTAAGGCAGAGGGAGATGAGATGAGTCTGACCTAGCAGGAACCAGGCCTCTGAATCAGTGTTCTGAGTCAGCAGGGGGCTTTAAAGCCCCAAAACTAACTGTGGAGACAGACTCCTCTGGGACTGCCCCTTTCCACACTTTCCCACCCTAAGCACTCACATATATAAGTCATGCTCTGTTAAGGCCGCTTGCACCTGTGCCGGGCTTGGCACCTCCCCGACCACCCCTTTCCAGCCAGCTTCACTGCAGGGGAAAGGCAGGATTAAGAACAGGGGTCATGTGGCAAAGAGGGCAGAGGGAATACTAGGGAGAAGGTGGGCTGGAACATTAGATGCTGGAGAAGGACATGCTGCCCTTCTATGTTGTCTCAACCCTTCCCCACCCCCTTTCTGACCCTTATCCCTGGTCATTTCTAACCTGTTAAAACGGGCTCGGAATTGCTCCTCTGTACTTGACAGGTTATTGTGAGGGTTCAGGACGTAGAAGGTACTGCGAGGATCCACCCCTTGGCTCAGCACTGATGAGGCCCCAGACTGAGGAGGAGACACTGGCGTTCAGGATCCTGGTCTGGCCAGAGGGCTCAAGCTCCATCAAACTCCAATTCCCTTTCCATAACTGATATATTCCTAAAACCCTCTCCTATCTTCTGAGGTCTCCCCTGTCACCAATCATCCTGAGACCCTTCTCCCCGAGCCCCACCTCTCTGATGATGGAGTAGCTGAGTAGGAAGCGGAAGGAGGGCAGCCGAGTGACAGGCAGTGCCCGGAGGCTGGGCATGCTCTCCCATGGCAGTTTCTGCAGGTCCTGGGCAAGAAGCATTCAGAGGTTAGTGTCCCTAGCAAGGTATACACAGGAGTCAGAAGGGGAATAGAGGTGAGGTGGTGCCCTGTGCCCACCAGACACGGCCCTCCCGTCCCTGGCTCCTTACCTTGTCTAGCACTAAGACAAGGTGCTTATTGCTTGGTACCGTCTGACCCTGTAGACGTCCTATTGCATCACTAAGGAGCTCCTGGGCTCTCTCTGGCCGGGTTGGGCACAGCCCATAGGCCAGGGCCTGAATATCCTGTGGGGTGAGGGTGCTGGCACCACTGAGCATGATCTGCAGGGCAACAGTGGTCAGTGAGTGCCAGAGCTCCCAACTCCACTCACAAGGGCAGATGGGAAAGAATTAAGTCTAGTTTCTTCACCTTCCCTGATTTCTTTCTTTTTTTTATTAAGGTATCGATATACAATTCATTGTATACAATATACACTGAAATACAATATACATGTGGTTACTACATTCCCCCCTGTTATCAAGTCCCCACCACATACCCCATTACAGTCACTGTCCATCAGTGTAGTAAGATGCTATAGAGTCACTACTTGTCCCCTTCCCTGATTTCTTAACTCACTTTCAGCAGAGTGGGATCAGGATATTTCCAGCCACATTCCTGCAGCAACTCTTGTAGCTGGGAGGCCTCCCGGGCAGGGCTGGAGTCCTCACTGGATGGCACCAACAGCCCCCTCCAGCAGCCCAATACATGCTTCTCTAGGGAAGTGATGAGAACCTGAAGGTGGAAGAATAGAACCTTCAGTCAGAGAGGAAGCTGTTTCTTTCTCCACAGGCACTGATATTTTGGAGTTGAGGAAACGGGTTTTCCAATGTGTGTATTTGTCTTAAATATCTGCCAGTCATAAAGGCAAGAAGCTAGAAACATTTTTCATTTGCTGAGACTCTGGGGAATACAGAGAAATCATTTATTACCTATCAATATGTTTTGATAAATATGAACACGTAGGCAATGAAAGCTGAAGCCAGGAAGCTCATATTTGGGCTTGAACCCTTTTTCTTATAATTATCTCTGAACATTCCATTGCCATAACCCCTTCAAGTTTTGGGCTCTTATTCAAAGTCCCTCCCAGGGGGACATCATTTTTTATTGAGGCCTACACTTCCAGCAAGGACTCAGGGTAACTCAGCACTGGCTCTTTCTAGGGCAGGCCTGAGTCCATGCCAGCTTGGGGACACACACCTCCATCCTACGGTCCAGTTCTAGCCTCCCTGTCCACCATTCACGCTTGTCAGTACAGCTGCTGTTCTCCTTCTGTTCCTTCTGGATGGCATCAAACTCTTTCAGGGCTGAACTCAAAGGAAACTGTGGATGAAGGGGTTGTGAGATATCTGCTTGTCCAAGTGATCACCTCTCTCCATCCCCCAGCCACAGAATATGAGCAGCAGCTTGACCGGAAGCCGACCCCAGCCCAACTTTGCTCCCTGGCCCAGGAAACCTACCTTATTCTGGGCAGTGGCGATCTGCACAGTGACTGGGTGATTGTCTTTTTCCAGGCGAGTCAGCAGGAGGGTGTTGTCTACAGTTCCAGGCTGGAGGGTAGCCAGAGCCAACACACACACAGTCACCCCTGAGACACAGAACATACCCAGAGTCATTTCAGCTCTTACAAGGAATTCCCTTCCGTCTTCTGCATTCATTCCCTATTCATCACTCAGTAAACACCAAGAAGTCTTTCCTGATAATTGGAGTTCAAGGTGCTCTCCCTCTTGTCCTAACAACTCTCTGGGGACAAATACTATGTCTTGTATACTTACTTGTTTCCCTCACAGAAACTAACAAAGGGCGCTGCACAGAGGGAGGCACTCAAATCATCTGTTAATGTGTTTCATGTTAGTGTAGGGAAACCCAGACACCTGAACTTACCCGTGAAAAAAGACACTGAATTTTCTGGTAATTCAAAGTTGAGGTTAAAAAAAAAAAAGACTTACAGATTTAGGTTATGTCTGGTAAATGACTAATCAATGAAAAAGTAGGACATCCTAGTCTGTAAGGATCATAAATCTAGGTGAACTAACTAATGCCTTAAACTCCTTCACCCAACGCCTTAGTGGGAAGATGCTCAAAAGGACAGGAGAGTGAGTTGAAGGCACCATACCACTGGGGATCAGAGCCAGGTGCTCTTGGAATCTCTCCTTCTCAGCCTGGAGGAAGTGGCCAGATCCCGAAGCTCTGAAGGAAAAGAGGCGCTGGATGCGGGCCAGAGGGACATCTCCCTGCCTCTCCTGGAGGCTTAGCTTCTTCAGCTGGTCTGTTACTTCGACTGATCCCCGGTGCTTCTGGGCTTTGCTGCAGGTAACACAAGTAGGGGTGAGTTCTCCCTACTTCAGAGTCTGAACCCTCTCTCCAGTCTACCGCAGCATGAGCCTTGGGGGATGGTGGGCACTCACCTGAGCTGTCTGTGGAGATGGGTGAGCAGCTGGTGACGACAGGTGATGGAGACAGACTCAGTGACAAGGCAGGCAGTGGCATAGGGATCCCGGTGGCCCAGGCACAAGGCCAACAAGCGGCAGAGGTGAGCGTAGAGCCCACTAGGAGGACAGTGACTGACCCCACGGAAAGCAACACTCAGCGAATCACAGATGGAATCCAGGGTAGAGAGACCTAGAGGAAGGTCAAGACCTTGCTGCAGATGAATCCTCTACTTCCTAGCTGATGGGAATTTTCCAAGGAGTCCCTATCTCATCTCCCACTTGGAAAATAGCAGCTACCACTTACAAGGACAATGTGCCAAGTGGGGTCCTACACAACTTACATGCATCAACTCATTTCGTCCTCCCCAAACCCCATTTTACAGGTAAGTTAATAGAACCTTAGAGAGGTTGAGGGACTTGCACACAGCTAGCAGAGAGAGTGCTGGGATTTAGACTCAACACCTGATCTAGGTGGGGGTCCAAAGCAAGACCTGTGGACAGACTAGAAAGGCACTGGGATCAAGAGTTCTGGAGGCATGCCCTCTCCCAGTGATCAGAATATTCACCAATGGCTACAGGGGTCGAGGGGAGTTGGTATCGAGGATCAAGAGCCTTGTCTCTCTCCTTGTCTGGGCCCAGGACGGGCAGTTCTTCTTTGCTGGAATCCCGTCTCAGTACCTCACATTCTCCTATGGCCGTGTCAGGCCCAGGAGCTGGTGCCTTCCCACCTGAGGAAAGAACATGATTTTCCTCCTCCTGCCATCTCCTTTGTTCTTCTTTCTAGGATCATTCCAGAGCCAGAAAAAGCTCTTTCTGTACTATCTTTGGCACTAGTCATTTCTTGTGCTTTGGCCCCAGGGTAATCCCCCAAAACATATATATCTCTATCTCCCACCCTTGCCAGCATACCTGAGGCTGATTCTTCCCCATCAGAGCCCCTGAGGATCTCAAAGCTCATTTCCAACTGGTTGTCAGTCAGTTCCTCCTCAGGGATGGTCCTCATGATCTCGGGGCCCAGCTCCTCACAATGTCCTGATGCCACCTTCTTGGCTCTCCGGGTTCTGCCACCAAGGCCAGGGTGCTTGGGGACACTACCTGGCGCAGCCGTTGTAACAGTCTTCAAGCTTGGGCCATTCCTAGCCCGGCCCCGGCCTTGGGAAGCAGTGCCTCGCCTCTTGAGCTCCTCTGCAAGCTGTGCCTCAACTGAGAAAGGGTCTTCCAAGTCACTGTCATCACTGAAGTTCATCTGGGATGGGTGAGAAGGGGAGGAAGGGCCATGGGGCCTTCAGGGACAACACATCATCCTCCCAGAAGGTGGCGCTGTGGGGGCACCACTGCACAGGCCTTTGGGGAAGATTAAAGAATTTAACCTCCCATACACACCCACCATAATCAATCAGGGACAGTAACTCTTGGGTGTGGAGAGGAGGGAAAGAGAGAAGATAAGGAGAAAGGATGAGAAGGAAGTAGGGAAAGGAACCATATGTAGCGTTATGGAAAGTGCCTTTTGTCTGAAACAAAGAGACTGGGAACTAGATCTTGCTGTCAAAGATGTAGGGATCCTGCAGATGCCAGAAGAGCTGAAGGTCTCATCAGGCCCTGGGAAGCTATTCCAGAGACACCTGCTCTGCAGAACTCTTCTCCAGGACCACCCCCACCCGACACCCACACCACCTAGCCACAGTCCCACCTCACCTTGAGGCGTGTCTGGACCCTCTGTTGTACTTTGGGGGCCTTGGGAACCTCTGGCTTGCTCTTTGTGCAGAAGACTTCTTCAAACACAGTGAAAGGGACACGAGGCCCAGCCTGCCTGACCTGACCTGTGGGTTTAGGTGTACAGGGTGGTCCTCCACCTTCCAGAGTATTATGGAGGGGAAGGGTGGTGGAGACTGCCTGCTGGCGCCCCCGTCCAGAATGCTTTTGGCTCCAAGGCTTAGAGGGCCCTGAGCCTGGCGGGGTCTTTATTGATGGCGGCTGCCAGCCCCAGGAGCTTGCGAAGAGTTCAGTAGTGCAGCAGCTGAAGCCAGCCAGCTTTTCAAGAGCCCAAATCAAGAGTAGGCTAGCTCGCCAGGGCTCCAGGTGGGGTATCCGAGCAGCCACAAACTTTAGACCTGACTCCAGGACCTTCCCCAGGCTCTTGTTCGATGGCTGGCTCAACCCCTCCAGTGCCAGCTGTGTGTATGCCTGAGCCATGATCTCATCCAAGAGGCTTGGGACAGGGGAAGGGGGTGCTTTGTGATTCAGGGAAGCTTGTAGAGCTTGAGTAAGGCGCTCGGTGGCTGCAAGGCAACCCTTCAGCACGACCTGCAGCATATTGAGACCCTGGGCCTCACGGCCCATGGTCAGCCTCAACTCTGCTGTGACCAGTGTCCAGCGCAGACAGACTGCCGAGAGGACAGGGCTGGCACAGAGTGAGCAATCACATGTGGGCAAATGGGTCAGGAAGCCAGGGCTGGGTGGGGGCTTCACTTTCAGGACTGGGGAGGAGTTAGTAGAAGGTGCTATGGGGCCAGGTTCCTTGGCCACAGTAGCGACCAGCTCCAGAGAAGGGCCTCTTAGGAAGGGCTCCTCCTCTGGGAGCTCTGGAGGTCGGGGAACCTGGGCCAGATGCTTCCCCTTCTGCAGGTGGACCTTCTTCACGGAGTCCAGGTGCTGGGCTAGTCCACCAAACTCTGGGGAGAGTGGAACAAGAATTATAAAACTGGGAGAAAATGATACCAAGTGCCTCCCAAACTACCCCAGGGTCCAACTCCCTAATATGTGTCTGACTACTTACTAGTGACTCATATGTATTACTGTATAAACATACTAAATATTAGTATGGCTTATTATTTTTTGATAAAATCTCTAAAGTCTTCTTCCCATTCCATAATGGACTCATAGAGCCCACAAAACCCCCATCTGCATCTGAGAAAGCTGCATGGCCCAGGAAAAGGGGCTGGCAGCAGGGGACCCGAGTGTTAATCCTGGCTCCTGTCCCTGACAAGCCCTATGATCCTGGCCAAACACACTGAATTTCTCAACTTTCTCATTTTACAAATGAAAAAAAAAAATCTATGTCCCCACCTGATTTTTCAGGGGTTTGTCAAATGAAGTACTAGAGGTGTTAGTGGTTGACAAGAAAAAATGTACATAAACATACTATTTTATTATTAGCTTAAACCCTCCTAAGGATACTACATTTGTGCTGTCCAATACAGTAGCTACTAGCCATATGTAGCTATTGAGCACTTGAAAGGTGGTGAGTGACTGAGGGACTGAAATTTAAATTGTATTAGACAGTGCTGAAAACTAGAACCAGGTAGCACTGGTCCTGCACAAGCTGCCTGGAAGAGGGACACCAGTGGTCTGGCTGAAGTATAGGGAGTTTTGCCCTGAGATCAGAGGCTAGTCTCTGATTTAGACGGGAACCAAAGTTTTACATACAAAGATGTTCGGTAGTGTATGTGTCACCCTCACCGCTGCCTACGGGTGTGAGTGTGGCGGCTCACCTGTGCAAGATTCAAGCAAGAACAAAACCTGCTGCAGGTCCGACTGACAGAGGTCAACGTCATTACGGGCCAGCTCCAGCTCCCCCTTCAGCACCAGGAACAGGGCACACCTTGTGGGAGAGGTGTGGCAACTGGTTAGTGGAGTCCTTTGTTTTCTTGGAGAGTCTGTCTTTTTTGCCCCTTTCCCTGGCAGAGCCATCAGTCAGTCTTCCCTGCATCCAAAAGGCCTGTACTTCCTAAGGCTCTCTGAGGAATACCTTCTACACTTCTCTCTCATCCTTGTGCATGAGGACAGAATTTCCCAAACTACATTCCTCAAAAAAGGATCCTGTGGGCAAAGAGATTTACGGAAACACTGCACACTAGATCTTGCCTTTGGAGATGTACAATGCATGTTAGCATATTGAAGGACATGAGGATTCCTATAGGAAAAAAACATTTGACTTGTTTAACTCAGCATTTCCCACTTATTTGGCCATGGAAGTGCATTCTTCCACCAGCCCCTCTAAACATGACATGTTAATCCGTGAACAGTTTGGGAACCCATGGTCAGGAGGCGCAGGCACTTAGGTTCTGGAATCAATATCCTCTGAGGCCCTGTGCTCACTGGCGTGGCATCTGTAGCTTTGTCGTAAGTTTCAGGGCCTCCAAGCAAAAGGCCTTGGCTTCATTCACACTACCCAGGCGGCCCAGGTGAGAGACAAGTTTCTCCGAGCAACTCAGGACCTCTGCAAGAACCTGCCATTTTTGCACCAGATTTTCACCTGTAGCACAGAAGAGAGAGATAAGACCATCATCGCTCAGTCATAGCCTGGATCTTTGGGAGACAAAAGCACCAGCCCCACCATCTAGCCTATCCATTTCTAGAAGGCCTTACTGTTTTCAGACTCACCATAGTCCAGAAACGGAGTCTCCACAGCTGCTTTTTGAACTGAGAGCATGCCACTGCCCATGAGCAGGAGGAGGATGCTTCGGAGGAGCTTATGGGAGTCGATGAGTGCTATCTCAGGAGTCTGCCAGCCTGTGTGAGGGGGCGAGAAGGGGGATGATGTGGCCCTAACTTCCACCACCTTCAGCTACTTTGATAGCAAACCCAAAGCATGCTGCCATTCTTCTCCTTCTGTACATCAGGCGGACAAGAATTAATCACAGAACTCTTTTCTTCTGAGACCACACAGGGTCTCAGAATACTTGTCATTATAGTATTGAAGCCAGTCACTAGCAATCAGTTAGAGTCAATAGGCAAACTTACACTCATTTGCTATCCCATGCCTACTCTGGGTAGCTTCTAGGTAGGCCAGTCCACATGGTTGGACAGCAGGGGGGATTAGGGCAGAGAAGAGCTGATAACAGACAAACTACACACATGGATCCAAAAGGGCCATCCACCCTGTTCTTTCACCTTGGGCACAGATCTGCTCCCCCAGGGAGGCTGAGAGGCTGTCTGATGAGAGGCTAAGGTAGACTGCCACCAGTTGCAGGGCCTGGACACGCAGCAAGTACCAGGCCTTGGATGATCTCTGGAGGGCAGGGTCCCGAAGCACAGACAGCAACAGAGAAGCACCCTCAGTCACCTGGGAGCAGGAGGGGGCCAGAAGAGAGCAGTGAGCCGTCAGATCAGGCATTCAGAGCTACAGCTGCCCCTGGGGATCATCTGGCCCAATTTTTTACTTTTAAGAATGTTAACAGCTGTAGAAAAAACTAGAGCCTGAGAGGGCTCAAGACTCCAAGTCACACAGCTAGTTTGTGAGAAAACCCAGGTCTTTCGGATCCCACTAGACTTCCAATTTGGGGCTCCAATGCCTTCCCAGGATCACTATCACCCCAGTTTCTAGTCATAGGACAGACTTTCCCCCTTGCCCTTGGAGAAACTGACAAAGAATAAAAAGGATAGTATCTCTACTAGAGGAGTTCTGGTGAACATTTCACTGAGGGGGCAAGGCTAGGAAATGGTACTGTTTCTCAGGATCAGGTATGTTCTTCCTAGCTCCAGGGAAATCTCAGAAGCCAGACAAATACCCAGAAAATCCTAAAATCCTTCCAATACCCAGGACCTTTGGGGATTAAGAAAGCAAAAAATACCTGCTGGTGAGCATAACAGAGTTGACTTTGAAGAAGGTCACACGTGAGGGAAAGGAGCAGGTATGAGTCAGTGGTGTGATTCAGAAGCTTCAGACTTGACTTTGCCTCTTCCAGGTGTAACTAAGGAAGTGATTGGGGTGTATGAGTGTGTTGGTGAGGAGAGCAGCCAGACACTTCAAATTAAAACATGTGCATGCAAAATGCTGGACATGTCCAAATATTAAATTATTTCAAATATTATAATCTACATAGGAGTTGTTCACTCTTTCACTAAAATGTTCATTTAGTACCTTCCTGTTAACTGCTAGGCTAGAAAGACAAAGCTGAGTAAAGAGTAGTCAGGACCTTCCACCAATAGCTAGCAATGCAGTGGAGGTACAAGCATACCTATTTAATCATGACACAATGCCATTAGTGGTATGGGGACCTAGGAATGTGGTTGATTCTACAGCATCTTACTACGCTGACGGACAGTGACTGTAATGCGGATTGTAGGGGGGGACTTGGTGAAGGGGGAAGCCTAGTAAACATAATGTTCTGCATGTAATTGTAGATTAATGATAACAAAATAAAATAAAAAAACAAAATGGAAAAGAGAGAAGCTGGAGGCAGGGAGACCAGCTAAGAGACATCATTAACAGTCATAAGTGAGCGAAGAGACATCAAGTAGGGTAACAGAAATGGCTGGGAAATAGGAGATTAGTGGTATACTCCTGGTGCAGATTCTTTAAGACTTAATGGACAGCTGGTTTTGTAATGAGGAGAAAGATGACTATTCTTCCCACAGCTCCCAACCACTGCACACTTCATGAATCTCCAGAAGAATGTGGTGGTAGAAGGCAGAGAAGCTGCCCTTTTGACATCCTATCTTCTCAGAGGGTCAGGAAAGACATGTTCCCCCTGTGGCCCCCAGACTAGACTGACTGGGTACTCACCTGAGCATAGCTGGGACAGCCCAGTGCCAGGAGCAGCTGGGTGGCATGGCACGAGGAGCCAGCTGCCTTCACATGGTCTTCCAGTCTCTGGGAGACAATCCGTACAAGCAGGAGGACCTCCAGAGCCTGCAGGGGCTGGTCGGCCAGGAGCAACACATTTATCCACTTCCTGCCCAAACCTCCATTTCTACCCTCCACATCTCAGCCCTCTGGGATCTTAGTCTGACCTCAGGGCCTGAACAGAATGTGGCTACAGAGAGAGAAACCATCAGCCAACTTCAGGAAGCCTGAGATGAGAGCAGTGAGGGAGTCTGCAAACCATCGTACCCACTTTTGTTTTAAAGCCTGATGCCAGTCATCCTCAATAGCCAGGTTTTACTGAGTGCCAGGTACTGTACCAAGAGGTTTACATGCATCAACTCATTTAATTTTAACATCAACTCTAATGCCAATTTTATAGATGAAGAAACTAAGACTCATATAGGTTAAGTCACTTGTCTAAGTTCAAATAACAGGTATGTGATAGAGCCAAGACTCAAATCAGGGCAGCTTCCCAGGCTCCTTGTGCTGGAAATATGGCCTAAATGCCCATGGTAACAAACAGCCTTTATGTGCAATGTTTTTTTTTTGGGGATTCCAAATGTGAGGTTCAGGGAAGAGTTTCAGGAAGTCTGTGAAACCTCCTGACAGTGCATGTAAAATATAAAATTGTATCTATAGGCATGTATGTATTTCTGAGTATACAGGCCTCAAGTTATCTAATAATTAATAATTATAGCTAACGCTTGACTATTCTGTTTATCACATTTTCCATGCCTATCTCATTGGATGCCAACAATGCTATGAGGTAGTATTACTATTGTCCCCATTTTAGAGATAAGGAAACTTGGGCTTAGAAGGTTAAGTAACTTGCCAAAGGCCATGTTCTAATAGAGCCCACACTGGGTTTGGGGCTTCTCAGTAGATGTACAGGCCAAAGAAGGTGAAAGAGCTAGATTTCTGGTCTACATCTATACCTGCCCCATTACCTTTGCCACCAGCTGATAGAGGGCGGCTAGGATCTGCAGTGAGGCTGCAGTCTGCTGGAGACACCGCAGAGTGGGGGCCTGCCCCTTTGTAAGCACCTCCTTCCACAGGGCTAGGGCTTTGTCCAAGCATTTGGACTGAGCTGTAAGTCAGAAGAAAGAGACCAGCCATGCTCTCAGCATGGGCCATCTGGGGAGAATGCGGCCTTCTCCATAACACCCCCACCCTTTGTGCCCACCTCTCACCCACAGGGCCAGCCTCTCCCACATCTGGGGTCCCCGTTCTGCACTTAGAAAACCACGAAGGAGACCCTCTCCCACCACACCATGTTTACAGTCTTCACCAGCATCTGCAGCCAGGTTGAAGGCAATGTTACTGTATAGGAAACGATCTTCCTGGAGTTTATCTTCATAGTTCAGGTCATTGACTTCAAATTCCTCCAAGTTAGTAGGGGCCTGGGCTCTCCGATCCCGCTCGATACCCTGGATGGGGAGATCAGGGTGAAAAAGAGGGTGGTACCAGCTTACATGGGCCCAGGGAAAACAACCCCTGTACCCAGTTCTGCTTAGCCCCACAGCAGCCACATTTACTTCCTGCATTTTGGCCTCCAGGGTACAGATGTAGAGCCACAGCAGGGCTTGTGCTTTATCATCCAGAAGCTGATCCTCAGCCTGGGCCTCAGGCCTCACAGACTCCAGGAGCTGTAGGGCTTCCTGGATAGCATCCAAGGCAGAGCTGTGAGGAGAAGATGCACTTAAGCTGGGCTACAATGAGTACTTGCCACAGTGTTGAGGGAAGGGACTTCTGTAGGGACAGATGGCCACACCGTTTGCATGAGCTCCCATGGCTACAAACTGAAGGAGGAGCTCAGGAACATGGAGAGGGTAACAGGCTCCGAAAAGGGTAAGAGGATGTGGGGCAAGAGGCAAGAGTGACCTCTCCAACTATTTGTCCTCACCAGTCAGTCTGCTGGACAAAGTCATGGTAGCAGAGCACCTGAGCCAGTTCCACCAGGTGGGTGGCTCGAGCCCAGGCTCCCGTCGGTGTCTCCTCGGGGCTTAGCTCCAGCAGGTCACAGATGACGTTGAACCGCTCCTGCCCTGTGTCAGCCCGTACCGCCTTGTAAGCCTGCAGCTCCTCCCTCAGCAGGAGGGCCAGGGTCTCTGGGTCCCAGCCGCTCAGGCTGTCTCGCAGAGTCCTGAGAGGAGGCAGATTTAGCACTGGCCGGAAGCCCATGCCTCTGCCCTGTCCCGAGTCCCAGCTTTGGCTTGCTGAGAGCTCAGTAAGTTTCCGGTCATGAAAGCAAGGACACTGCCTGTTGCCGCTGTTCCCCCAGGACCTAGCAGACACAGTGGCTGACACTTAGTAGGCACTTGATGAATAATGACAAATGGAAGAATCAGTGCCTTTTTCAGACATAAGGATGGACATGATCATGAATTCAAAAAGCCAGCCCTAGTCACAGGGTAAACATGGTTGTCCCCTTCTAACCAACTCGCCTCAGCTGTAGCTCCTTGTCTCCAGCTCTGGCTGCATCCATCTTGACTCGGACCCAGAAGGTGACTGGCTCAGTCATGTGTTCAGGGCTGCAGGGCTGCAGGGCTGCCAGCCACAAAGTGACCATCTTGCAGCCCTGGGCCTGTTCACCCAGTTTCTTCAAACTCTCTACATGCAGCCGGAAGCATCTGTGCAACTGATCAGAAAAAGAGAAGAGGGCAAACTGGAGAGAGGAACCAATGAGTCTGTAGGGTGGGAGTGTCCTGCTTGCACAAGTATATGCACCTCCTGCCCTCACCTCCCACCCCCAAGGCAGAAGATAGCTAAGAACCAAATGCCCCGAGGGCTCTCAGCCTGAGGCTTCAGTCCCACACCCATACACATTCATGGCCCATACCCATAAAAACCTGCTCCTCTTCCTGTAATCTCCTCTCCCCAAATCAAGGCCAGTTCCTGAGTCAGAAGCAAGGCCAACCTTGACTGCCTCCTCTCTCTCCTTCCAGCCAGCCACCTGCCAGGCTAACACATGGCTTCTTGCACCCATTCACTTCTTTCCATCCTTCAGGGATCTGCTTCAGTTCAAACACCCACCCCTTCCTGCCTAGGCTGGAGCAGGAATGGAGTATTGTCCTTGCACTTCATTCATCTGACACAGTGATGCCAGAGAAACACAAGGCGCCACTCTGATATCCTGCCTCCACTTAAATCCTTTAGAGGTTCAGCAACCTCTCTCAAGATGAAACCCAAGGCCCTCTGTGACCCATTCTGCCTGCCAATCCAGCCAACCCATCACATCACTTCAAGGGTATTCTTGTTTTAAGATGGAGGTTCTCACTCTGGTTGCCCAAAGGACCACCTAGAGGAGCTTTAAAAATATGCAGACGCCCAGGCTCCAGTAACAGAGGTTCTGTCTTATGTGATGAGCCTGGAACAGGCATTAGAATTTTTTTTTAAGTTCCATTGGGGATTCTAATGTGCAGCCAGGTTGAGAACCACTGGCTTGGGACAGGCTAAATATAAAAAGTGAGTCAATAAAAAAAATTAAGTAAATAATAGTACAGGTAAGGTCTGGGAAACACTGCCCTAGGTACTGGTGCCAACATGTAGCTCCTAATATCCTACACTCTGAGGCAGAGTTCTGGTGAGGCCCTTTCATGCTACTCAAGCCCTTTCCTCCCGCCCAACATACATCCCTTCCTGCCCTCATACCTTCTCAGAAGGCACTTCAGGGTAGGTATGTGACTTCACCAAGCCAAGGTGCTGACAGACAGGCTCGGAGATGGCACAGGCCTCAGCAAAAAGCTTGTGACTATAGAAGCTGTAGGCCAAGTTACTGGTGTAAGAGGCTGCAGGGGAGAGAAAGGACAATTGACTCCAGAACGGTTCCCACTGCTCTCTCCTGTTGGTGGTCAGCTCAGTAGCTTCCAGATCAGACAGAAACCCCTATCACTAGGGAATGAGATGGGCAGCTGTCCTCTTTCTGCTCCAAGTCAGCCCATACCTTCCATTTTGATAAGGCAAATCCATACCAGTCAGCCCCTCTTCACTTATTTTCTCATTTTAAGTTTTTATTGAAAGCTGCATATACGAGTACTTTGTTCCTGCATCTTCTCAATTGCTTCTTCTTTATATTTGCTTTTTTCCTTTCCTACTTGTCGAAATTTGGCTTTAAGTTCAAGGATGTTTTTGCAGTCTTTGTCCAGTTTTAGTCTAGTGCTGGGGAGAATGTCCACATGGGCAGTTGTGCCATTTGCCTTCTCCTGCTATACTTATTCAATGTAGATGACATATTTCTTCCTATAAATCTGGACTACTGAGCCAATTTCCTGACCTTTGTAGTATCCTCACACAACCTGAACTTCGTCATCCATTCAAACGGGCATGGATCGAACACTGTACTTCTGTCTCAGCTCTTTGGAAAGAGGGGAAGACATATCTTCCTGAGAATGTGGGAAGGTGCACTGAAATGCCTTTTACGGTTCTTGCTCCAGTCAAAAGTCACAAAGGGATGGAATTTCAGACATGGCTGCAAAAGGTCCTCTGCACTTGTTTTATAAAAGCCAGAGTCCTCTTTCCCACACAGGGCCAATCTCTCCTTACATGCCAATCTGTCAACTTGCTCCAAAGGCCAGCATTTTAGAGAAACATTCTCCTATCCTGGGGCCTTGGCACTGGCTGTTTCCTCTGCTAGAGATGTCCTTTCACAGGGGTCTACATGGCCAACTCCCTCACAACCCTCAGGTTTTGCTCATGTCACCTTATACCTACCCTGACCATTTTACTTACATGGTTACTTGCTTCACTTACCCACCCTAAACTCTTAGTTCCCTGATCCTGCTCCACTTTTCCTTTCTCCCTATATTTCTTACCACTTTCTAACATGTCAATAAGTCAATTATTCTATTTTTATTGCCCTTCTCCCCCAACCATAACATGGCTCCATGAGGGCAGTGATCTTTGTTTACTGACTTATCCACTCAGGACAGTGCCCAGAACATAGTAGGTACTCAACAAATATTTGTTGAATGAATATAATTTTCCTGAACTCTAGCTTATGTAGCTTCTTGGCTATCAGTGTAGATGGCTGGGACAAAATAAAGTCAGTCTTCAATGGGAAGACTGTGGGAGAATTTTATACTAACTTCTTCGACTTCTGATGATATTCTCATCCCTATGGCTAGGTTCAACCACTGAAAATAGGAGAATGACAAATTCTCCAAAACCTTCCAATGACTGAACACATTAGATTTATATGATTTAAATTAAAGGGCCATTCTTTTTGTAAAATGATGGGGAAATTTGTTATGGAATACCAAAAAAAAAAAGGCAAAGTCAATCTATGCTGTTAGGACAGTGGTTGTTGCTAGAAGGTTGTGACTAGAGAGGGCAGAAGGAGGGGTTTTCTGACATCCAAGTCATGCTGTACTTGACCTAGATGTTGGTTATGAAGTACATTCACTTTGTAAAAATCTATCAAACTCTTGATCTTAGTACTTTTCTGTAAATATATTTCAATAAAGAGGGTAGGGATAAGAATATATACATGATGGTTTATATATACATAGTATATCTCTAGAAGGATACCTAAGAATTGATCATATTAGTTGCCTCTGCAAGGGGGACTTGGTGACTAGGAATAGGAGTGGGAGAGTTTCAGTGTATGCCCCTTTGTGCAATTTGAATTTTGAGCCATGTAAATGTTTTTTTAAAATTTAAGTTATAAATGTTCTTTAAATTATATAGGTCATAAAGTTGTATATCAAACAACACATGTACAAATGTTTTCATGAAACAAATATCAACTCAGATTTCAAAGTCAATGAGAAAAAATTTGTGTCTGCTACAAGCTGCTTCATCACTTCTCTACCTCTTTTAAGTATAGTGTAACTGTCACTTAGAAACAACTTCTTCACTGTCTCCTTAAACCATAAGGAGACCCTACCATGGTCAGAACTAACCAGTAAGTGCCACTTGCCTGCCTAAAGAGTGATGACCCTCCAGAGAACTAAGAACCTTGCATCTGGGCCCTAGGGCACTAACCAGTTATCCCCAGATACTCCGTCAGCGTTTGGTCTGACAAGCCCTGTAAGGCCTCCAGCATCCACACCACAGTAGATTTGCAACTCTCTACTAGCTGGGCGAGGTCAGTCAAATCAGCTACCTGAAGGGACAAGAAGGATTTAAGAGTAGGAGGAGACAAAATGGGTCCAAGGTGACGTCCACCCCAACCCCAAGCCTAAAGCCAAAGCAACCCCAAAGGTCTACTGAGGGTACCGAGCTACCACAGACCCCAGCACCTGTCCAGGTGTTTGATTCCCAGACAGTACCTGACAGCCTTGGGCAAAGTCATAAACCACCACAGTGTAGAGGTGAAGTCCCTGGAAGTACATCTGAACCAAAGACTGCTGCTGCTTGGAGGAGTCCCTGCAGACCTGAGGAGGGAAGTGGATGGTTGGTTTGAGGGGCAGAGAGAATGTGTGAACTCCAGGCTGAAAACTGGCCCAGAGTCCTGGAGAGCTGGCACATCCCAGGGAGGAGGAAGAACATTAGAATGGGCTACTGTCCTCTCAGAATAGATTAGGCTGCTTGCTGGCTGGCCAAAGTCCAGAGAACAATTTACCATGAAGGGAGCCAGGGCTTCCAGATCTTACCAAAGACCCTAGCCTGATAGTGAATCCATAGAACCAGATTCCCACCCTACCTCTAGGTCCTTAACTCACACCATCCTGCAGCTGCCGGATGAGGGAGCAGTATCCGCCAAGAAAAGCAAAGAGGCCCAGAATAGCATCAGGTCCATAGCGCCTCTTCGTGCCTCGCTCTAGGCCTGAGAAGAAGAACTGGCAGCTGTCACACAATGCCCGCAGTGGGGGTGACAGTGCCTCCATGTTGTTCTTGAGGAGAGCTGATGCCTTGATCAGAATTTTGGCCACTGCCTGGGGTCTTCCCTCTCTGACCTGCAGCAGTTCAACTCCCAGTTGGCATAGCTGGAGGCTGGGGGCCAGACTGGTGTTCCTTAAGTAATTGTGGACTTTCTCAACTGCCCTGGTGGCTTTGGCATGGTGGTGGCTCCAGCAGAGGCGACGGCAGTATTCCAGGGTAAGCTCCAAGAGACAGAGGGCCCTCTGGGGAGAAAGAGGACCAGGAGAGCCCTCTCTTTCACCCACCAAGACTCTGATAACATGCCTGGAGAGCAGGTCATCTAGGAAATCTGCATCTGCTTCATTAAGACCATGCCCAGTGGCATCAAATAGATGATGGGCAGCTACCACTCGACAGGCTGTTGGAGAAGCAAAGTGGGGAACTTCATAAGGGGTACTTTCATCCTCCAAGAGTACTAGAAAGCTCAAGGCCTGCAGCCTAGCTGACAAGGCAGCTCGCCGCTCCACCAGGGCTTCTGCTCCCTTCCAAAGCAGAGAAAAGCTGCCCTGAGCCACAGCCTCATAGTCCTGAGGAGCAGCTTGGTGAGAGCACTGCACCAAACAGGCATGAAGGGGCTTAGCCAGTCGGAGTGCGGCCTCTGGGATTCCCTGTGCAGCAACATTACGCAGAAAGATAAACAGAATTCGTTCCAGGTAGAGGTGTGGGCGCTGGGGGGTGGACACCAAGTAGCCATTGCAGGCCAGCTCTGCCAGCTCCAGTAGACTCCCCAGGTGTCTAGGGCAGGCCAACTTGGCTGTCAGCTGCTGGTTGCAAGCCCTCAGTATGGCATCACAAGCTTGTCTCCTCTCAGCATAGAATCGGCAGCTGGAAGAACCAGGTGGAATCTTGGACAGGAACTCCTAGAGAAGAAGATGTGAATGGGGCTACCAAAGAAGGGAAAGAAATGAGGTTGCTCAGGAGAGGATCTTCTACTAATCTGCCTTTTCAAGTAAGGCAAAAAACAAAACAGCTCAGCTTGGAAAGCCATGTATATTCAGAGCCAGACAGCACCCCTACCTTCAAGTCAGCTAGCAACTCTTTAGTCTCCTTCAGGCTGCTTAGCAGAGCCCCAAAGTTGACTCCTTTGAAGCTTCTCATGGCACCAGAGGGCTAGGGAAAAGGAGGCGCATTGGAGAAAGAGATTTGTAATGGAGCTAAATGGAGGGCGCGAGAACGGCTCGAAGACCGCGAAAGGGGCAAATAATCCCATCAGAAATCTTAATTGGAATAAAGTCTATGCCAAGACGCCGGGCTCCTGTTGAAAACCGAAGCTTCCGTTTTTCCTACCTCCTGGCTCACCCCCGGCCACACCACCCATTCTAGTACACCAACGCCCCACGCCGGAGGCCTCCACAGAGCTCTTCAGCGCTCATGGGGACGTCCCAAGGTCTCCCGACCCTCCCTCACAGTCGTAGCTGGGGACTTCACTCACCTTGGCGCGTACACAAGCTCACTAGTCCGTCCGGGCCTAACTTCCCCAAAGGTTGCCGTCCTTCCCAGGTCTAGGACTTAAAGCCGCCAAAGTTCTCCGCAAGGATCCAAAACGTAACCTTCGTTTTCCGCGCCAGCCCCTCCTTTCAAATATCTCCGGAGCCCAATCAGCGAGAGCTGCGTAACGCCAGAGGGCCGCGTGGCGCGCTGGGAGTTGTATTTCACCCGCCGCGCTGCGTCATCACGTGACGCTGGCACAGCGGCGTAGTGAGACTTGGGGCGTAAAGGCCTCTTGGGGGCGCGGGTTTCTCCACTTCTTCCAGTCACGGTCGAGTATCCAGGTTCTCCGTTGTTTTGTCACTATCGGGAAGGCCAGCTCTTGCCTCCTCCCTTTTATCTTAAGAGCTCAGAAAGAGTTTAAATTTCAAGAGAAATAGGCTAGACAAAAATAATTTACTTGGGAACTCGCGCTGTTTGGATTACTAGGAAGAAAGGGTGTAGTCTTTCATGGAATTCGTTAAAAATATTTTTTTCTGGGGGCACTGAGTACCGTGGCGACTTCCAGTTCTGCCTTCCTGCCTTGCTCCTTCCATCAGCTGGGTTATATGAGGAAGACAGAGGATCTAGGACTTCTTGACGGAGAGTGGGGATAGGGGGTGAGGTTGTGAGTAATTGGAAGAACTAGGAAAACTCATTGACTGAGATGTTTCACAGTTTAATAGCTTATGTTTGGTAAGTACCAACTACTTCCCTGATCATACAGATTCAGTTGGCTCTGCTGCTTTTTCCTTCCTCTGCCAAAGCATTCAATTTGAAACTCCGGTCCTCCAGTTAGCTTTTTCCCGATTAACTCTGTTGGGTAACTCATCCTTCTCTATCATTGTCTTTCTTTGTCACTATCAATCTCCTTTAGAGCTGCGACTCTAGCAGTGAAGACTATTTAAAAACAAATAAGCAAACAAACCAGGAACAATGACATCTCCAAAAAATCTCAGCATTGAGAATGGTAATAGTAATGTAGGTGTTAAGTGTGTATTATAGACATTGTATACACCTCTCTTCTGGGGTAAGGGACCCGACAGAGAGGAGGCATTTATAAATGGTAAATGAATACATCAGTTCTCACTGTTAATTTCCTCTTGCTTATTCCCTGGTAATCAGCACTCATTTACGTGTTGTGTAGCAAGTGTAGGACTTTTTTCGTATATATTTATTTTATCTACTTGATTCTAATCCTAAAGGGTAGATAAATTATCCTTTTTAGTCCTCTTCTACTTCTTACAAGAAGGAAGTTATGTAAGTATCAGGGATCAATAAATGCTAAGAACTTGAGTCACATAATTCAGTCCCTCATCTGAATCCCAAGTTTATAAAGAGACAGCATGGGATGGTGAAAAGAACTGAGTCTGGACAGAGGGGCCAGATTCTAATGCCAGCTCAATTTATTATTAATCTGTGAAATGGGGGTGGTAACATCAAGCCTCACTACTTCTCAGCCTTAAATAGGATAGCCTTGAAATGCTTTGCAAAGGCCCTAACAATGCTTTGCAGCCGTTAACATATAAAGATGTCAGAGATACGTGAATGATTGTTACAGCCTTCCTGTGGATTTTAATTGTTTTAAAGAGAGAAAAACAAGATAAGCTGTTATGTAAAAAATAAGTTGCAGAATAGCATGGATAGTATGATTCAATTTTTGTTAAAAAAACAAATATTAAATCTGTGGACTAGACTCCAAATATTTAAGAGTGATATGAAGAGCAGGATTAACAGAGCCTGCCACTTTTTACATTTTATATCTCTATATGTATATATGTATGTATATTTATATTTATCAATATAAATATATGCATTTTAATGTAACCTATAAACATTTACATTTACTTATGTATGTCAGGTATGTACTGTATTTCTGTATTTGCATTTGACTATTTTACAATAAGCCCTTGTAACTTCATTGTCAAAATAAAAAGCAAATATGAAGTACTTTTATAACATTAAATCTGATTCCAAGCATGACAAACTTGTTTGTTTTATAATTATACTCTGTGATTCTATGGGCAAGTAGTGACAAAAAATAATAAAAGGGACAGAGAGAACCACAGGACTTGGTTAGGGGAAGAGAAATGGGGAGTGGAACCTAGAGCAGCCAAAGGGTCATGGCAGTTAGCTGGAAACAGCCCCCTCCTCTCCCTGAGCAGGGGCTAAATTTCCAGGAAAAGGTCATCTTCCAGACCACAGACCCCAATACTGTCCTCATGCCCCAATCCGCCTGCCTTCTTGTCCACTGGCTTCTAGTTCCTTGGGATATCCCGTTTCTGCTCTCCTTAGGACCACTTAAAAGCTCCAAATTAAATAATTATGTATCCAGCTGGATGGAAAGTCAGGAAATCAGGAGCCTCTTAGTGAAAAATGGTGGTGTGTATCAAGTCTGACACCCAGCTGACCTTCCCACTTGAAGAAGAGGAAATGAGTTCAAGTGGAACACCCTACTCAGCTGCTCACATGCCTGCAAGTGGAAGGCCTCTCAGATAGCTGGATACTTCTACTGGGCCAGGACCAAGGATAAACACTACTGGGAATCACTCGACCACGGATGCATCAGAAAGTTCTGTACCCCACTACAGCCCCATCCATTCATTCTCATACCCGAATCTGGATAGGCTCAGCTGGGTTGAAAAAGTTAAAAAATGAAATATAAAAAAGCAAATGTTTATGTAGTGCTTATACTGTGGGCCAAGTACTGTTTTAAGCACTTAAATACAGTAATGCACTTAATCTTCACAGGAACCCTAAGGAGTAGAAACTATACCATCCCCATTTTACAGATGAGAAACTGAGGCACAAATTTAACTCAGGCAGTTGGCCTCTGGTTCCATGCCCTTAACCAGTTCCCTGTGCTGCCTCTCAGCAGGCATCATGAGCAGCGTTATGTAGGCAGACTCACCTGGTGAACCAATCCCTCATTTGACCCACAAGGGCAGCTATCTAAAAGTGGACCAGATGGCCAAGGTTGAAAGCTCTCACTCTTTGGCCTTCTCCTGGGACAGGTCTTGGAATGAAGGAGCAGGGCTTAGGAGAAAGGCAGGTAGGTGAAGGCCTAAGCAACAATGGACAGCCCATGTCAGAGAATAGGCACATGTCAGGCAGCCAGGGGCAAGGTTTAGCCTCAGATTTGCCAGTTACCCGCTACACACCCTTTCTTTAAGTGGATTTTCCTCTGGTAAAAAAATCTCATCAGCACATAGTAATACAATGCATGGCTTATAGTAGGGACTCAGTAAAAATGTTTAAGGCCAAATGGACAATATCTAAAATGCCTTTGAGCTCTTAACACCCTATAAGTCTGACAAGAAAGGACCCTTCCCACGCTGCTACCAGGCCCCTTTGAAGAAAGCTCAACAGGGACAAAGCTAAAGGAACTTCATTCATCTGTCTCCTATACTTCTCTATTTCCTTATCACTTGGAAATGTAGGGCCCCCTCTTGCTTCTATCAGTAAATAATTATTGTCATCCAAAACAACAAATCATTAACTAGGTTCTAGATTCCAGGCTAATAAGACTTCCCAAATGGGCAGCTCTTGAAAAGCCAAGTGTGAGCTAGTCTGTCTCCTCTCCAGATGTTTACTGAGCACACCATGGGCAAATACCCACTTGTGTGTACTTGTGCGTATATATGGGAGACAAAGGCAAATAAGACCTAATTCCCTCCTGTCTTTAAGATCACAGTATGGCAGAAGACAGAAAGTCTACAAATAACTATAAAATATATCTAGGCCCAGCTCAACAGGGCAGAAAGAGGAAATGGAATTTTGCAACAGATTCTGTCTTAGCTTCAAGTTGGGGGAAGGAAAGGTACCTGTTTTTCTGTACTTAACCTCAACTTCTATTCCTTGCAGCCTAGGTAGAGGAACATGTTTTTTCTTCTCTGAGTAGGGTCCTGAGACGACCACCCATTCCTCCCCCTCTGTCTCACCCTACAGAAGCCCATCCATGCTACATTCCTCCAGCTGATGCTCTCTCTCCGCACACGCTGGAACTTGTAGATCTTGGAACATCTTGCATCCTTCTGTCTGGGAAGTAGTCTGAGACCCAAGGAAAGGTCGTCAGTTCCCTTCCAGAACAGGTTGGTCGCCCATGCCCACCTCAAGCACATTCCAGGACACACCCTTGAACCTGCCCTCCCTTCATCCCCACCCTTCTTAAAAGTTGGCTCTGCTTCCCCTGGGAAGTCCAGGTTTTGGTGGGAGGAGGGAAGGCAGATACAATCAGAGGTGAGGCAGGGAGGGGCCCACAAAACTGGTGTTCCCACTGGTACTGTTTCCTGCCCTATGGCTCCCTCACCCTTGCTCAGGCAGGGTGGGGAAGAGTCAGGTACAGACAAGATGTCTCAGTTCCTCAGCCATTCACTGCTCTTTGCTCCTGGCAGCACTTCACTAAGGTTTCACACAAGGATGACAAGACCTGGTGGGCCTAGGTGATGCTGGAAAAATGGTACATTTTAGCCACAGAGGCAGAAGGCAGGTAACATCATGGGCTGAGCTGCAAGCTTGTTTCTGCAAGAAGACCCCTGAATTTGCCCCAAGGGGTGTTCATAGAAGGAGTCCTAGTCCCTGGAATCTTTGCTCAAGTGGCTTAGCCATTCACCCCATACTCTCCAGAGATTGTCTCATCCTGGATGGGGAGCAAGAATTTTGCTTGGTGACTGGGGAGGGCACCTGTCCCCAGGGTAACAAGATAGGGAGGATCTAACCACCTCAGGCACTTCCACACATTTTTGCTGACAGGCAATTTCACAGCTGGTAGTTTTAGAGAGGCTAGAAGTATAAATACTCTGCTGATAGCCCCATTTCTATCCGCAAAAACTTCAGCTGCCCACTCTCCAGAAACTACTGAGGTGGGTACAGGTGAAAATGAGTAAATCAAATCAATGATCAATTACAAGTATTTATTTTTAAATGTAAAGGGGAAAGGGAGTAACACAGAGGCAACTTTTGGCATCTTCTTTCTAGGCCATTACCCCTGGATGTTTCCCAACCCAAAGCACTGGCAGGAGGGGCCTCAGCACAAGCTGAGGAGCCAGAGAGTCTTAAACTCAGTCACAGAAAGATCTGTACAACCCTGCAGAAGCAGGATTCAAGAGTCCGTCCCAGCCCCCCTGTGCTGAAACAGGGCTAGAGCTCAGGGGCATAAGGCTCCCCGGTGGGTGAGGGCACCCGCAGCTCAGCATCATGCCTCACTACAGTGAAGAGCCCCACCACCGCCAGCAGAGCCATCACCATGACAGCGAAGCAGACACTGAACATGTTCCGAGTGCCAGTTTTGTGATCACTGTCATGGAGGACCAGGAGCCCCAGGCAGGCCAACAAGTGCAGAGGCACCCGGAACCAGTTGAGTACACCACCTTGCTCTGTCTCAGGGATCACCTTTCTCCGTAGGAAGCTCATGCTGGGAAAGTAGAGCCCACAGGCCAATTCGATAAGTAGGAAGGCTATGAAGGATTCCACTGGACTCTCCTGGCCTGGGCTGGTGGAGAAAGTCAACATGAAGAGGGAGAAGACAACAATGAGGACAGCAAGGGAGAGCAGGTGCATGGGCTGAAGGTGGTACCTCTTGGAGGTAGCAATGCGGTATAGGGAAGAGCCGAGCAGACTGGCTGCCATGAAGCTGGAGAAGACGATGCCCAGTGGGGCCCCATGTGGGTCCAGAACAGGCGTCCAGAGGAAGACAAAGATGAAGATGACACTCTCGAACAGGGCCTGTATGGTGCCCAGCAGCAGCACGCGGCGGTCTGACAGGAGGCAACGCAGGCCCCCAGCACAGGTCCTCGAGAAGGCACGCTGCCGATCATAGTTCTCTCCCCAGTTATGAAGGGCCAAGGCCCCAGCCAGAGCCAAGAGAGGGATGGCAGTCACAAAGGGCGCTACAGGCCCCAGGCCCATCCAGCAGGCCACAGCCTCAGCTGCCACACCTGCCACTACAGCCAGCACATGGTTCCAGAAGGCAGCTCGGGCAAAGGTAGCTGGGATCCACTCAGCAGGGAAGTCATGCCGCTCTACATGCTCATGGATGTACCAGGCCTCGAAGGCCGAGAAGAGCAGGGCCGTGGACAGCCCACCAAGTGCTCGGCCCACCAGCAGCACAAAGTAGTCCCGAGAGAGTTTGGTTAAGCAGCATAAAGAATAAGTGAGGGAGAAGAGGACACAAGACTTCTTGCGACCCAGCCAATCCACGAGGGAGGAGGCCACCAGACCAAAAAGGACTGTGGAGGCAAGGCCACATACATAGAGGATGGCAATTTGACCCTCCAGGAAGTAGTAATGCTGATAGAGTTTATAGAGGTAGGGGGCCTGGAGCCAGTCAGCTGCCAGGGCCAGGAAATAGACCTGATAGAAGTCCAACTGAAAACGAAGGAAGGAGGGATTGCTGCAGGCCCTTCCAGGGGGCTTGGCCTGGCATCTTGACAGCTCCAATCCCAGGCAGGAGGCCAAGAGGACCACCAAGGCAAGGTAGGCAATCACCAGCATGGCGGGCCCCCGGACGACCTGTGGAGAGAAGGGGGATCAAAGTCACATCCATTGCCGGGGTAGCACTGTCAAGAGGCTGGGTGTCTAAGCAGAAAGCAACTCCACCCAACCCCCCTGCCAACTGCACTTCCCCTCAGCTCCACTCCCCCAGAGCTCAGACCGGAGGGACCAGTTGGGTGGGTCGGAGGAGTGGCCGCCTGGGCGGTCTCCTACGACACTCTGAGTAGGGAGGGGCAAGAGGCAAGGGGAGAAGACTGAGCATTCGCCCCACCCTTGCCTCGCAAAGCAAAGAGGGAGTCCCTTCAATAATCCCAACCCTGCAAATTAAGGGGCTGCTGCCTTCCTCCACGACAGCTTCTGCATACTTCATTACTTCCCACCCTCCCTGGGAAGCCCATTTTTGCCCTCAAGGTCTCAACATCTGTCCTAGGCATCCCGCCTACCCGCGCGGGCCTCTCGAAGGGTCATGCGCTTGCTATCAGATTCTCCCTCCTCCAGGTCACGGACACCCCCCTGCGCCCCCTAGTCCCCGCTCAGTGCCTCAGCGCCGCCACACCGGTTCGCACCTCGCCGGGAGCCCATCTCACCTGCCCCGGTCTGCGGGGACGCCCCGGACGCGTCCGGCTCCAGGCCGCCCGGCCGCCCTGTCTGCTCTGCCTCCAGCTCCGGCTCCGGCTCCGGTTCTGTTTCCAGCAGCGCGCCCGCCCCTCACAGCCTGCTTCCGGGAGCCGGGTAGGCCTCTGGTCGCCGCCATGATGGCCCCATCACGTGACGAGGGCGCGGCACTCAAGCCCCGCCCCTGACCCATCCTCTTGCCCTCACCCGGGCGCCCAACTCCGGACGTCGGCGTGAGCAAGACGAGAGGGGGTGGCTGGTGAAGTTCGCAGCCCGACCTCGCGCGCTGCCCTCCGGTGACACCCGTTCTTTCGACTTCCGGGTACTTGCGGGGCCACCCTGAAATCAAGACCCATTTTCTTTCTCTTCCTTCGTGCCATGGGTAGAGAGCAAGGCTGTGCCCGGGAAAATGCCCACAGTCCCGCAGAGCCGGGGACTGGAGTTTCCTGAGGAACGCCTGCCGTAACCCGTGACGGGCTCTCGGGTTTCCCTCCCCTCCGCTGTAGTGCCCTTCAGGCCAGACGTCAGTATGGCCCAGACACCTGAGGGAGGCAGTGTGGTGTAAAGGACTTGGACTCCGGCTTGCAGACAAATGCTCCAATCCCATCCTTGTTTCTTACCAGTTGTGTGCCCTCAGGCAAGCCACAGAACTTCTCAGTGTCCCAATTTCTTTGCCAGCAATCAAAGAAAAGCAGTGCACAAATAAAAAAGGCTAAAGTTCAGCGGCAGCATAGGGTTAAAATTCAGTCCTGGAGCTGAACGGCCCACAGCTGTTTTGCCGTTAAAAGGTTTTTTAACCTCTCTTCAGCCTTAGTATTATCTCCTCGAAACCCTCCAATGGCTTCCCATCACTTCCTGTCTTGCTAAGCTTAAAAGCCAAAATCTTTATATTTGTCTACAAAACCATCTCTCCTCTGTTCCCCTGCTAGTCTCTGACCTCATTGCCTACCATCCTTCCTACCGCTTGTACACTGGCTACCACCAGGGCCTTTGCACACTGTGCCCTGTGAGGCTCTGGTTCTTCTCCCAGATACCCACATGGTTCCCTCCCTCAGCTCCTCCAATTCTGTTCAAATGTTACCTTATCAGAGAGCCCTTTCTTGACCATCTGTTTAAAATAGTAACATCAGCACCTCCAACAGTAATCTACCTGCTTTCCTTCCAACTCTCTATTCTCCTTTGCTGCATTCTCTCCATAGCACTGAACACCATCTGGCACACTGTATATTTTACTTGTTTACTGTCTCTTCCTTACAGATTTTTATCTGTTTTGTTCACTTGTATTCCCAGTACTTAAGACAGTTACTTGGTACATAAAAAAATTCAATAAATATCTGAATGAATAAATTAATCCATGTAGATTACTCTAAAAAGGGCTGGTCCATAGTAGCTGGTAACATTTATCAAACAGTTGTTATAAACTTAAACTCTGTTTTAAGAAGTCCTGGGCCAACCACTACAGATAAATTATTTAACTATCACAACAACCCATAAGGTAGGTACCATATTTATCCTTTAGAATTGAAAAGGTGAGGTAACATACTCAGAGTCACATGGTAAGAGGTAGAGTCAGAACCAGGACCCAGATCTTTCCAATTCCACGCTCATATAATTTCTGAGAAGGTTAAATGAGTACCCACTTACACTGGGGATTAGTTAAGTGTTGGCTTTCTTTATATTAAATTTGAAGGTAGAAGGTGGGAGAATCTAGGATTACATCTCAAGAAATACTTTCGTGTGATAAAGTAAACAACTGAGATTTATATCCTACAAATTCCAAAGCACCTTTATCCCTAACAGGCAAACTCCTAGAGAGTATAAAGGTGTAGTGGTTCCCATGCATTCATCTAGAAACATGAAGACCCACAGATCATGATTTCTCCAAGGTCATTCAGTGAGTGAGGGCATGGGGAACCCAAATGCCCTCCATCCCAGTCCTGGACTAAAGCCCCCTTAACTGATGATACCCAGTCTCTCAATTCTTAGTGGTCTTTTCTTTGGGAGTGGAGGTCATCCTAAATGAAGATGGAGAGGGACAGGATACTCTTATACTCTTTGCCTTCTGTTTTCCAAGACTCAGTTTTCCTTTTTTATAATGGCCTAAAAAAACCCTTTATTTCTATTCAAATTTTTCTTCCATTATTGAGTTGCATTTTTCTAGGAAGCACCTGACAGATATAAAGCAGGATTATGTTGTTTCAGATTATTTTTGTTCATTGTGGGACCTAATCAAAGTATGTTTACTCCTTTAGGTTCCCCTCACCCCTCAGAGTTGTGAAGTACAGGTGGGAACCTAAACATGGGAAATGTGCCAGCAGAGGACAGGGTGGAGGGGATAAGAAGCAGCCTGTGATGCAAATCATCTCTAGGATGCACTTCTAGCAGAGGTCAAGGAGGGCTGGGGTCTGTGTATGGGGAATCACAGGGTAAGACCTGGCTTTCAGGGCTGATGGGGAGGATGCTCTGGGAGTTACTAAGAAACATGCTTGCCAGAGGAGCATCATTTAAAACCTTTATTATGAATATATTCAAGCATACATAAAGGTAAGGGCATAGTTCTATGAACGCCTATATATTTAATTCAACAATATTGATTTTGTCACTTTGTTCTATTTTTTCTTTCTGTGTTTTTTTACTTGCCCAAATACTTAAAATTAAATATGTCATGTAACTCCACACTTCAGTATGATCTCTAGGAAATAAGGACATTTTCTTGCATAATGGCAAAGCCATTTTTATGTCAAACAAAATCGACACTAAATCCTTGGCATCATAAATATCCAGTACATAATTAAATGTCTCCAACTGTCGAAAAAATGTCTTTTTATAATTGAGTTGTCCAAAGCAGGAACCAAACAAGGTTCATGTGATAGAATACTTATATTTTTATGTCTCCTCTTACTTTTTACCCCCTGCCATTGACTAGAAGAAAGTGGGTCAGATTTTCCTTTAGAATGTCCCACATTCTGGATGTATCTTCTTAATTCCTCATCATGTTGTTTAGTTTGTTCCTTCATCCCCACTATTTCCTGTTAAATGGCGGGAGTCCTTTGTAAGTGGTCCCAAGTGCTTTAGACTACATCACATCAGGAAATAAACAGTGTGCTTGTGCCCCTTTTAGTGATGCTAAGATTCACCAGTGGGGTCAGGTGGTGACAGTTCGAGCCCTCCATTGTAAAGTTCTCTATCAACCATCATCCTTGGTTTCATGCATTGAAGATTCTTGCTTGGATCAATTATTTCCTTAGGGATTGTAAAATGATTTTTCTAATTCCATATTTCTTCCACAGTAGCTGGAATTCTGTAAATAAGTTTTCACCACTTGGAGCTGTTTGGCTATGCTGAAATATAGTTTATACAGGACAAGCAGCATAAATGCTTAATTCTTTTTCTTTTAAGTTGCCAATTTTCAGAGTAAAAAGTTGGGAGAAGCATCATTTTTGAGTTTTATAAAGGTTTGCACTTAGAGCTGAGTAAGCCATGGATGGCCTGGATACTGGGTGGGGAAAGGTGGGACTATTCTGGTAGCTGTGGTACTCCAAGGCACAGAGGGTGTGTGGGACAGACACAGTGGAGGACTCAGTGCCCTGGCCCTTGGACAGCAATGAGATGGGCATGACCAGGCCTGGTGTGTCGGTAGTGAAGGACCCAGGGAGAGAGAGAAAAAACCACATCTGGAGAGGCAGAACAATAGGAATTGAAAAAACAGCAAGACAGCAAGAGAGACAAAGAAAGGAAAATAGAAACGGGGGAGACTGAGGATGAAATGTGCTCAGAAGCAGAATAGGACTCAAAAGCAGAGAGAGATGAGGTAGATCAAAAGACTAAGAAAGAAAATAGCCATGAAGACATGAATTGAGACAGGGAAGGGGGAGAAGAAAAAGACATATATATTAAGTAGATTTTAAAATAGATGGGTAAATAGTGGGAGGGAGGAACAGATGGATAGAGAGTGGGGAAAACAAATGTAAAGACACAAGTTAGGTGAAGGCAGAATGTCCCAGTGATAGAAAGAAGGAAACAGAAATGGAAAGAGTGATGTAGAAAGATGGTAGGATAACAGAGATGGAAAGGAAGGAACCAAAGGGTCCCAGAGAAGGAGACAGAAGATTGAAACAGACTAGTGTTAGAGAACATGAGAAATGAGAAGAGGCCCTTAGGGATCCCAACTTAGGATCCAGTTCCAGACAGATACCCAGGTCTCTTCCTATTTCCTCTTGGTGGCTTCTCCAACCCCCTAGTTCTACCCCCAGTGGCCGGGGACTTACGACTAGCTGTATGTGGAGTCTGAGTCGAGGAATCCCAGCTTCCCTCTCCTCTATGCCAGATGAGCATGGATTTAACAGATGGGATTGTTGCTGGAAGATTGAGGTCAGGAGGCTGGGCAAGCACATGCAGATTTGAAAGACAAGACATCCAGGTAGAAAGCACCAGGTTCCTAGAAGCAAAAGACCATGAAGAATGTCATGATATCCAAGGGGAGGGAGGAGGAGCCAGGAACCCCTCTGCTCAGCCTCCTCTTCTGGTCCAAGAGCCACTGACCTTCTTTGCCTAACTCAAGGTGAGAGGTATGGGGCCCAGAGACTCTTGGGTCAGTCAGAGATTTGACTGGAGGTCCAAGAGGCAAGAAGTGGCCCTGGGACAAAGGATCCCCTACCGTCTCTAGAGGAAGAATCCATCTTATCCACAAGTGCTGTGAAGATGAGCCAAGAAGAGTCTCCAGTGGAGGCTGACTAGAGTGGGGAAACGGCCACCTTGCTCACCTTCCAGGCCATGGAGCAGGCACTGAGAAGAACATCTTCAATTTCAGGAGTTGCAGTAGAGGAGGTTCTGGAACCAGCAGGAGCATGCCCAGGGACTAACTTCAAAGCAGATGCCCTGTCTCACCCCTAGGACTGAGGGGGATGCCAGGGGCTCTGTGCAGCCTCCTGCCTTTACCTGCCTGGCTGTGGGGTCCAGCTGATCCTCTCCTTGCTCCAGAGCTTCTGCCTTCTGCCTGAGGAAGCAGCTTGCAGAAGTGCTCTGGGAGACTGGCAATCTCTCGGGGGCAGTGGCCCAACTAGACTATGAGACAGTGTCCCTGAGAGTTGCGTTGTCCCCGGGAGCAACAGCTGCAGTGGCCAGTGGAGCCTAGAGGCCCCCAGCCATCCCCTCGGCCAAAGCC